TAGTTTGTTTTGTCTAGTTTTGTTTCCTCACATATATCTTCAACTGTAGTTTGTTTTGTCTAGTTTTGTTTCCTCACGTATATCTTCAACTGTAGTTTGTTTTGTCTAGTTTTGTTTCCTCACATATATCTTCAACTGTAGTTTGTTTTGTCTAGTTTTGTTTCCTCACATATATCTTCAACTGTAGTTTGTTTTGTCTAGTTTTGTTTCCTCACATATATCTTCAACTGTAGTTTGTTTTGATGTTACGACTGGTCTGTAATATTTTCCATTTCTCAGTTGTATTCATTTAGTTGTGGAACTAGCACAGATACAGAACTTAACTCCTAAAGTGTTGGAGTTCTTACCACTGGTGGCAGAAGCAACAAGTCATCGCCATTACACTCGTCATGTGTGTCTGTTAGAGACCTTGTGCAAACAGGTAAATATAGTAAACATTTAAGATACCAACTAGGATAAGCCGAATGTGGTAAACAGTCAGTTGTTTGTTTATCATAATAAAAAACTTTATTCAAACATATATTGTCTAGTGAAGCTTGCCTGTTAAATAACTAGTGAGAATTAAGTATTCTATGCCTTTTATAAGTACAAATAAGTAAACTGGATGACGTGTTTGATTCTAGTAAATCTGGAAAATATTACACTACATAAAAGTAATAAAAGATAGTACACAATACATCTATAACCTAGTATTTTTTTATGTAATATTTATATAGCTAAAATGTAGAGGTTTTTGTTTCCTCAAAGGAAATGTAATTTTACACTAAGAACCTTTACTAAATGTTATTCAACTTTTTTTTATTTCCACCAGCTGCCTGTTATTGCTAGAGGTGTTGGGAAGAGACATTTTAAAGCTCATTTAGAGAAGTTTCTGGATTCTGTGTTTTATAGCTTAGTGAGTATATTCCACTGGTTAATTTGTTTAGTTGTTTTTTAGGAAATTAGATGGTGTTGTGAAATGAACTGAACTACTTAAAATATGTAAAATTCAGTGTTAAAAAAGGATGAAGTGTTTATAATCTCTCTTGTAACAATCCAAATTTACTGTGATAGCAATGCTTATAATTATTTCCTAAGTACAACTTCCTGAGGCACTGTTAGTTACAGTTAACCCTAGTTCAAACTTCCTATGACCTCTGCTAGTTGCTATCAGCCCTAGAAACCACTTTCTGAGACACAGTTAGTTACACTTATCCCAAGTTGAAACTTCCTGTGATATACTCAAACTTACTGTGATATCTGGTAGTTACAATTGACCCAAACCCAATTTTCTGTAATATCTACTGGTGCAGCTAGGCCAGCTATAGCGTAACTGTACTACTGTGATCTTTAGTAGTTACAGTCACACATGGCTCAAGTTAATGTTTACCCCCAAGTTACTGTGATACCTATTTGGTACAGTTAGTCCTAACCCACAGCTTACTATAATCTCTTATAGTTACATTTGTCATTACTAGGTACATTGAACCATAGTCCTATTTTTCTGTGTTTATGTATTGAGGTTATAGTTAACCCTAGCACCTACATGCATCTTCTGTAATATTAGTTGGTTGCAAATAGTTGTAGCTTCTCCTCATTATAATCATTAGTGGTTACAAATAGCCTTTGCCCAAATTAATACACTGTGGTATCTGATGGTTACACTTAATTTTATCCTAAAGTTGCTATAATATCAGAAGGATGTAATTAACCGTAATATCATATAGGGAATTTCTGATGATTTTAATGTGATGCCTAGTGGTTAAAACCAACTATAGTCCCAAGTTACTGTGATAGCTGAGGATTACAGTTAACCCTTGCTTAGGCCTAAGTTATTATATTTTGTTGTTATTTTTTGTTGCACTTAACCATAGTATAAGCTTACTGTGAGCTATGATAGTTAACATTAACTCAATCTACTAAGGATTTCAGCAGTTAAGATCAATCACTGCACAGATTAATACTCTAAAGTTCTGATTCAGATTTCTAAATGTATGGTATTCTTTGCTATAGCTGATTAAAATAATTTCAGACCTGTGAAAACCTGTTGATTTCCAGTGCTGCCAGTGATTGTGTTTCTCAACTATCTAGCTATCTTGGTCCGTCAATTCTGCGTGGAAGGGTGGAAATGTATAATCCAAAGTATGCTTTTTTTTCTAAGATTCCTCTTCTTTAGGTTGTGTTGCTTAAATTTTTTCATCTGTAAACTAGTTTTCAAAAAAACGAATAATATTTTTTTTTAAAGAAACATCACTAAACTTGCTCTTTCTTGTACATTTCACAGTTTCAAATTATCAAAAATTGTGCCCACATTTTTTTGTATACATTTAATTGAATCCTAAATTAGTATAGATAAGTATAAATTTAGTGGAATATTATTTTGTGAGACTTCCTAGTAAGTATTAGCACTTCCAGTTATGTTTCAGTCTTGAAACAAGAAAAGAAACATTTGCCAGTGAATGTGTAAAGAAATAGAAGTAGAATGTAATTTTTCTCATTCCATGAAGAAATTAAGTCAACATTTTGTGGCTTTTGTACTATTCAAACAATAATATTTTATCTTGATTTTAAAATATTTTCAGGTACATTATGTTACTGTATATTAAGAATAAAAACAAAAGTGACATTTTTAACACAATAATAGTTGTTTTAGCTAACAAAGTTTTGGTAACACAGTTAACATCATCAGTGCTCATGAATACAGTGTTAGCATAGCCTTTATCAAACTTTTTTTTTTACTTTAATATATTTCATCTGTTTATATATTGTAACATACAGATATTAATATTAATCAAACATATAACATACTTGTCTCTATTGACCCCGGCATGGCCAGGTGGATAAGGCGCTCGACTCGCAATCTGAGGGTCGCGGGTTCGAATCCCCGTCCCACCAAACATGCTCTCCCTTTCAGCCGTAGGGGCGTTATAATGTGACGGTC